TATATATATATATATATATATATATATATATATATATATAAATTCAACTGACTTTTGCTAAATAACGAAACGGCGAGCTAGTGAAATTTTAGCTTTTATTAGGCATTTTAGCAAAGGCAGAAAATCAAATGACAATTTACATTGATTAGTTCAAAATTGTAAAATGAGCAAATTTTCAAAAGTAATTGCGGTTCTTATTTTTATAAATAGTTAATTAGTTAATCAAGCTAACTAGAAAAAGAGCTTAGTGAATTATTTGCCATATATACATATACATATATGTTGAATATTAAATACAATACTCTTATTAATTGTAATATACCATATACGTTCATGCATAAGCCGCACAGCGTATGCTCTTGTAAATATATTTATGTCTATATATTTAGCATTATTTATTTATTTATTTATTTATAATATGCTAAGTTCAGTTAGCACGAAGATGGAGAATATTTTGTACTAACATTTATATAAATATATATGTATTCATTTATTTTTCTCAGTTTCATATGTCACAGAGATTATATAAAAACTGCTTCGAAACTTGAAGAATAATAATAGTAAAAAAAAAAAGTTTTGGGAATTGTTTTTAATCCTACTCCCATCTTAAAGTCCTATGAAAATGCAGAATTAATATCGTCGTACATCTAAATCAATATGCTGAACATTCAAATACTTAAGTTATGCAGATCATATATGTATATTGTAAATATTCATACTTAATCTAAAATTTACTCAACGATTCACATTAATTGTAAGCACTTTTCTTATACATATATTCAGAATAATACGCTTTATATCCGAGTACATTAAATACATTCAGAATGCCTTTGCACTCATCGAGCTGACGAATCAAATTGACTAGTAAATTGATTGGATTTGCTTAAGCCGATTTGACTTGATATTACGTATCTCAAGTGTTGAATATTGTACATAATTGTTCGAAATTGATTGCGTAATGTCTATAGAGAGTAGAGAAGGTTTTGCTTTAGGTACAACAATCATTTAGTTAGGTACTTTTTATTGAAACTGGGTTAATATACCATTTATTTATATTCATGTAGATGTATGTATATCTGGCTATATTGAAATTCTTATATATTGACGCCGTTTGAGCATTGTACTTTTAGTTGTATTTAGTTGAGATTTGAGGATTTGTAATACATAGCTATATCTAGTTTTAAATAACACGAAACATACACACATATTTACATATATATGTGTGATTTTTATTAACTTTAATATATATATATATATGTATATATAATCATTAAATCTTAATCACTGCAAGGTACACATGACATTTCAACTTTATAAAGCGCATGGCTTCAAAGTTTTTTGTTTTAACAATTTTTCAAAACAATTGGGAATAATTGAACGCAAAAATAAACTCTCTTAGTTTAGGTTTCTACCATATTTAACATTTGTATAATCTAATTAATGTAATTTTATGATTATAATTTGTAAAAATAGTTTGCTGCAAATTGAAGTAAGAAAATATACATCCATATATTTAGTTTACTTAGTACAGCTTTCTTGCACCTAAATTCTGTTATCTAGAAGACAGTCCATTGAGTAGAGCTTACGGCTAAAGGGATCTCGAGTGTGAAACACGGATTATATAGCTTAGGTAAATTAGTATGAAAATAGATTGTGGGATATGGTAGACAAAATACCATCAGGTAGAGCTTACACCTAGGAGGATCTATAAGTATGCATAATAAACCATTGCTAGGCAAAGGAAAAATATAAGAGAAGTGGTACCAATTTTTGAAGCTCTTAAAGACGGGTCTCTTTGATCATACCCTTGCAGAGAACGAGCAAGGAATAAAAAATATAGTTTATTTACAAACATAAGTATACTGTGGACTCTGCTTTGTCCATAGGGAAAAGCTACCAAGTGTTGAGTAGATCTTCATGGTACTTGTCGTAGATTCCTAGCTAATATTAAGCTGTCAAACCGCTGAAATTAACACAAGCTTTAGTGATCATTTTAAATTTAACCAGTATATGTTTGCAAGGGTATTTATTCTATCTGCAGCCCTAAGGTGCAACATTTTCTCTTAGATTTTTATGACGTTACATTATTTCTCATTTAATTTTTTGCATCTTAGTTAACTAGATTTGTATTTAAATTGCAAAAGCCGAGTACACATATCTAGCATGGAAAATCAACTGGCCATAGGAATTCGCAATTTTGGAGAATATATTATTTGATGTCCATGGCATATACATTGATGTACAGCTGAAGTCCAAGTGTTTGTAAATTTCCTAACCTAAATTTATATTTCACCCAGATACCCTACAATTCTCTTCAGCATACTCAAAAATAAAGAACATCTAACACACGCCCTTTGAACTTTTTTCGGCCTTTTCTCGTATTGTCGTCGAAGTCGCAAATGTCTCACAGATCCTGTTCCATTCGTAGTCTATTGGAAATTTTTCATACGCTTCTTGTGAAAGTAATAGTCTGATATATAAGAAAAAACAATCAAATAAAGTATTTTAGTGTAGATCATCCGGCTATGAGCTCCAGCTGAAGCTTTGATATTCCTTGAAATTCAATCGGAGCTTTATGGCTATTTAAAGTATAAAAAAAAAGAATATGAGTTGATGTATGCTTCGTTATGTATTTATTCATGTGAAATTATATTATAAAGGACATTTGAACATAAAAGTAAGCGTAAAACTAAATTAAATTAAATGCCATATCTCAGTGTCAGTGTCACACAAAAACAGCGCAGGAAACAAATGTTACAAAAGAAAACTACACTCAGAGAAACAAGAATTATATTTAATCAGTGCAGAAGCAAAATGTTCTATAGTAATAATAAAATAGGTATGCTTCATTGCTGTTTCATTTAATTAAATTCACAAATTTAATTGATTAATTAACTTTTTCTCTGAGTGTACCTTTAAGTTAGATTGGAAAAGAGGGTAGAGAGAGAAATGCAAGAGAACAATTTTACTTTTTATCACAATTGCGTATGAAAAATTTCTTTAATTGCTAGAAACCGCCACGCCCAGTGCCGCCCCCACTGCCGGAGTGCGACGCCCCCAGCACAGATTGCGGCACCAGGATGCGAGGCAGCGTCAACGAGCGCTTGGGACAGCTGTGCCGTTGCGGCGTCGTCTGATCCGGTGTATGGCCGGCAGATAAGCTGGCCTGGGCAGTTAGGGCCGCTGCCGGCTCTACCTCCGCTAATGGCACCGGCCTGTCGTCGAGCTGCTCCGTGTGTCACGCATACGACTGCGCTGTTTGGGGCATCATGCCGGCTGTGTAGCCGGCATCGAGGCCAGGTCTCTGCTCCACCAGGTTCTTGAGCCGGCCGCGTAGCTCCTCGAGACTCTTGGACTTGGCTTTGTTGATGCGCTTGTACTTCACGTCCTTGGGCTTGGTCACGGATCGATGGTTGGACATGACACGATTGTAGGTCGTCACCTGCGACTTGCCGTTCACCTGCTCCGGAAGTTGGCTGGTGCTTGGGATTGGGCTCGAGCTCGGGCTTGGGCTTTGGGGTTGCAGTTGTGGTACCTTCATGCTCAGTGTTGTGCAGGGCGTGGCATCGTGGCTGGGTGAGCGTTTCAGTGCGCCCAGCTGGCGACGCGGCACGGCCATGGCCGCCGTCATGGAAGTATCTTTGGCTTTGCTGTCCGTGGCATCCGACGCTCCGTCGATCTGTCCCTCGGTGGAGCTTGAGCTGAGTGCTTTGTCCGATCGATTCTTGAACTTGTCGCGCTTCTCGGCCACGTCTGTGGTCGGCTCCGGATCCTCCTCCACGGAGTACACCGTCTCCAGTATGTCCGGACGACGCAGATAGCAATTGTTGCGCCTGGCCGCTCCATACTTATTCAGATTCGTCTCAATGGCATCCGATATGGAGCGCACGATGGTGATGCCGTCACTAGCTAGCACGCCACCCAGTCCGCCGCCTCCGCTGCTCCTGCGACGCGTGCCCAGAGTCATGTTGCTGTCCGAGTCAATGTCCTCTAGCACCACGGCCGAGTCGGAGTCGTTTAGAGAGTCCAGCTCATTGGCATAGCTCGCCTCGATGCTCTCCAAGCCGTGGTCCACCAGGCGCGTGGATAGCGTATCTATGATCTTCTGCTGGCGCTGTATGGTCAGCTCCCGATGGCTCAACAGACTCGCGATTTGCTTCTGCTTGCGCTTAAGCCGCGCCTCCAGCAGCAGCAGCTGAGACGTCAGCGAATTCATCTGATCCGATTTCTCCTTCTGATAGCGATAGTGTTGCTGCACCTGTGTCAAGAAGAGAAAGTGACGTTAGTGATGTGAATGCAATTCCTTAGAGTTTCTATTTCTATCATCTTCCACTATCCCCACAATAAATTCTTGGTTACCTGCAAAAACAAATGCGGAAAGATGCGGAGAATATATGTATATATTATTATTATACCCTGTACCAATTGAAAATGGTTTTGTTAAAAGTATGTAACAGGTGGGGAAAGAGGCGTGGCAGACCCCACAAAGTGTATATATTCTTGATCAGGGCGACCAGCTGAGTCGATTTGGCCCTGTCCGTATGTATGAACGCGTCGATTTCAGAAGAACTTTTTTTTAAATGTCCGCTATATACGGACATATCGCGCATATCGAGTATATCACTAAAAAACGATAACTCATTCCGATACTTTTTTATCGATAAAAAACCTTATCGAA